GTCATGTTGCATGCCTCTGTCTCACTTAGCTGCTTTTCTGGCGAGTCCTCCTTCCCTTTCCTTTCCGGGTTTCTTTGTCTACCCGTGTTTGATCTCACTGACATATCTAGTTGTTGAGTCGTTCAGTGGCTGCTCCCTGGGGGGCAGTGGCTCCTCGGGTTGTGGTCGCTCCTCGGGCGGTTGCGGTAGCAGCTGCTCCTCAGTTGGCCGCAGCTCCTCTTGTGGGTGCTGTTCACAGCTGTGGTGGCTCTTCTGGCTGGTGGAGGGAGGCTTCACACACAGTAACTGTTCCCCAGACAGAGCATGTGGTGATCAGGAGGCCGCTGTTGCTTGAATCCTCTTATCTCCCAAACTAGATCACCTCCAGTTCTTGGCAGTGACTTCTTCAATACATCACCCAAAGCATAGGCAGCACTGTATTCAATACTGGAAATGTGCCAAACAGCAGGAATCAGGGGAAGGAGTGAAATGTTTTGAAGAAGGATGCTTGTACTGATCTCGTTCAGAATTGTGGAGAGAAATCTTGTATTCTGCTTCCGAGAAAGAAGCTACTCATAGATTTGTGGTCGATACTCAGCTCCCAACTGGAAAAAGCCAGGAGGCACTGTCCTGGGCACGTTTCACTCCAAGTATAAATTTTAATTAATTCTGATTAACTACTTTATAGCCCATCTAGAATACCATATAAGGCATTATAGAAAGGCTATGAAAGGAGTCATAATCAAGAGATGATACTTTATTGGCATAGAAGCAGAAGAGTTTCGTGCCCAATGCCTAGATTACTCAGAAGGGTTCAAGCGTCACTTGCCCAGTGGCTCTTACTGAATTACTGCCCTGGAATCAATATGGTGAGCGGACTGACTCACTTAAGTACACAGCTCGGACTAAGGTTTAATTCCTCCACAGACCAGGTAGATTGTCCTAATCTACATGTACATACTTTATAACTTGCTGCAGTCAAGTCATCATGCAAAAGGATAAATAGATTTCTTGATAAGAATAAGATAAAGGGGACTGACTAGGTGAAACTTAATAGGTAAGCTCCAAATCTTTCCCATAGATGCAAAAAACAAAACAAAACAAAAAAATATTTGAAAGCGTGAATGCTGTTGAGATATTCAATGAACCTAACATAATGCCTGGTGTGTATTAGGCATTCTATAAGTAATAGCTGTTATTATTGATATCATTATTAATCATGGTGCTGTTACCGGAGAAAGATCAGTCTGGAAATAGGTTCTTACAGTGTCGCAGGAAAAGCATCTCAGGGACACTCATGAAAGAGGATCTGAGCAATGGTGGTAAGATTTATTAGAGCCCCTTTGAAAATGCTGCTGTATTCCAGGACGTGGTTCCCCAGTGGGTCCGGTAGCAGAAACTGATCGACGTTATTTGTTGTTGATCTGTCTCCATACTCCATGCCTGATGTCTCACCCACAGTGGTTCAGCTCCGACTGGCTGTGGAAGAAGTCTAGAATCCAGGGCCACAGGCCCGCAATTGTGCAAATCAGGCCAAGAAGGGTCAGGCCCAAAGCTGCAATGTCATCACCCCTGGCTCCCAAGCCTCCAATAGTCCAGCTCAACCTCTACTCAGAGTTGGCATCAAATTCTTAGCTGTGTGATCTTGGGCGAGTTACTTAACTTCTCTGTGCCATATTCCCCATCTTTACATCTGCCGCCAAGGCTTGATGGTGCCCAGTTGCCACCCAGAGATGAGCCTTTGTTAAGAGTTAATTATATTGCCTTGGGTTTGGGAAAGGGCAGGCCTTCTTTCAAACTACCCAATCTCTTTACTGGGTTTTCCTGGGGCTATGCTAGTGCTCTCCCCCTATCTAATACCTTTCCTGGATTTCCTGGGGTTTTGTGCCCTTATCCTATTTGGTCTTTTCCCCAGATTTTCCCAGCGTAGTCTCCTCCACCTTTATGGTCCCCTTTTGGCTCCTGTTGCACATGCCTTCTAGTTCCACTTCCTCATCTGGCTTCTATTGAGCATGCACTTAGGAAAAGGACTTCTGCTCCATCTTCTTCCTCCCACAGTTAATCTGATGGACAGCGGAGTGATTATAAAAAGCTGCCTCTCCTCCTTAATCAGGCTGGTTTCATTTCCTGCCTTCCTTTTGTTAATAATCTACTGCCTACGGTAACAGTGCTGGCGAGGATTCTGGGAGGTCTTTGGAAACACCACCACATTACAAAATGTTTTGCAGTCCAGATGTTGGCAGGCTCTCAACTGCAGAGTGCGTAATTTGGACTATATGCTGCCAGGTGTTAATGTTTTTGTTTGTTTGTTTTTTAGTTGTCAAGATGTTTAAAATAGGAATTTTTGCATTAAAATTGGATTTTAATATCAGAATGTCTGACAAGTTTCAGGTGAATCTGAAAATACCAGTATAATGGCCATCTTCCTTCCCTCTCCCCATAGTCTCTCCTACACCCATCCAAGCAACAGTAGCCAGGTTCATGCCTTAATATGTGTGAACTAGAGTGAGAATACAAATAAATACCTACATTTCATAAGATACTATAAGAAAACTCAAAAAAACTACTGTATTGTGTAAACTAGGTTTGATCTCCTATCTTAGCAAATATACCTTCCTAACAATCCATAAGGTTAATTTCAACTGTGGGATTCTCCAGGTCGGAGGTGGAAGGTGGTGCTGCAGGGCGAGCCAATCTCCAGCCTGTGCTATGAGCTCCTGCTCTTCCAGCCCGACCCTGTCCCTGTCCCAGACCCCCGTCTATGTGCACAAGCTGTCTGCTGCAGACACACCCCCATACCCAGTCTGCAGGCCTAGGTTACTCACCTGGCTCGGGGGTGCAGTCCTACCTCTCAGGACAGAGTAGGGAAAAGCCATGGAAGCAGCTCAGACTCGATTGGCAAGGAATTGTGGGGCCCAGGTTTGTAGGATGTGGTCTGATAGACTCTAGGAGGCAGAGAACAGGCTGCTGCTGCTCATGGCCCCTTGACTCGGCAGGTTACTCACCCACCCGTAGGGAAGGGGTGCAGCTAGAGGCCACCCAGAGAGGGTTTCTCTGTTCTGGGGGTGGGGTGGAGGGTGGGGTAAGACAGAGGCAATCCTGTCCATGACCATTTATATTGAGACTTGTCCTATTACTTTCTTAGGGTAGCTTTAAAATGAAAGCATTAATCTTAGGGTAGCTTTAAGATTAAAGCATTATTCTTAGAATTTTATCAAAAATGATAACACGAATGATGAAAAAATAATGTGGAGAGCTTCAAGAAAATAGAAAGGGCTTAATCCTTAGAGAGAGATTATTTTACTTATTTATGTCACATACTTAAAATCTGCAAATGTTTAAGTTTGAAGCCCTTGTTTAGTCATCTTTCTCCTGTCCATCTTATGGTGGCTTATTTGTGGTACAAAGGGGGTGTTTGTGAATATTAATTGCTGGTCTTAATCCCAGAGTGGGAGATTTGTGGAGCACTTATTACATTATTTCAGTTGAAATAGGAAAGAAGTTGGGAGAGTTTCTTTTAGGCAAGTGCCCTTAAAACAGTGATTATCAAATTTTCTGGTTTTCAGGGTACTTTACTCTCTTAAAAATTAACAAGAGTTCAAAAGAGCTTTTGTTTTTTGAGGGGGTTATTTACTATACTAAAATTTAAAGTGAGAAATTGAAAAATAACTTATTCATTTTTTGAAAGTATGTAATTAAATCCTTTACATGCAAACATTAGTATTTTTATGCAAAATAACATTATATTCTAAAAGAAAAAGATCGTTTTAAAAAGTGGCATTGCTTTACATTTTACTTTCTTTTTTTTTTTAATATCCGGCATCATAGAGGATAGCTGAATTCTCACATATGCTCCTGCATTCAATCTTTTACAATGGGTTATTTCAGTGAAGTATAGGAAGAAATTCCAGTCTTACACAGATATATGGCAGAAAAAGGAGGAGTATTTTAGTAGTTGTTTTTCAATAACCTTGGACAGTCTTTGAAACTGTACCAAAACTTGACAAGTTGTAGTTTTTCAAAGTTTGGTTGCAATGTGGAATCTGAAATCATAATAATGTACTTTTATACTCAGTTACAGGAAAATCCACTGGACTCTCTGGTGCTTTGAATATATCATTAATCCATACATTGTTTTGTAACTTCATGCATTGATCATTTGGAATACACTTGTTGAATGCATTAAATGTTAACATTTCACTACATAGTATCTACTCATTAATATCACCACTAATCAGAAAAGTCTTTAAGTATTGGGAGGCTCTCAAACTTATGGCGGGCAAATACAAGGGTTATTTTTTTTTATTTAACTTTTAATTTTTGCTTGACACTTGAATTTTATCATTATAAACAAATACTACTCATGTTTTACTTGTTTTAAGTGATAGACTCACTTAATTTTTTGAAAAATTATCTGCTACATATTGAAGTCTGTATAATCATTGTTTGTCTATAAGATGTTATTTTAAGTAAAATGTTCCATGATCGAAGGAGCTAGTGTTGTAGCACAGTTGCACCAGTGTCTTACCGGGTGAGAACCATCAAACTTCAGGATGCAGTAGAAGTGTTTTGAGGTAAGCCATGCAGCATAGTATAAAGATCTATAACCTAGTGCACGTGGTGAGGAATACAATGACTACTAGGACAATGGTGTGCCATCCTTGATTCATGTTAAGTACCAGAGATTTTACCCACCAGTGCTTTGACATCATCATTACAAATGTCATCTGTGTTTTTTAAGCCAGTAATATGTCACTATTATGAAAATAGTTTGGATCTATAGACCCTCTGTATGTACAACAAGAACTTCCTAGGTGTCCACAAACAATACTTTGAAAACTACTACCACCTCTGGAAAAGGGATGGGGGAGAGGTAGTGGAGAAAAAATAAATGAAACTGCATTTTCTCCTTAGATTTCTTACTTTCTTATAATAATTCCAAATAGAGCAACTTTAAGTGTTTTTGTTTTTTTTAAAGAATGCTACTTAACCTCTTTTCAAGCTATTACAAGTCTACAAGTCTTTCTGCTCCTCACTTTCAGAAAGCTGTTTTCACTGATAACCAAAATTCCTTCCTACTGAACTTTAAGTTCACTGTTTTGGTAGATATTTTTACCATGCTAATTATAATTCCTCTTGGTAAATACTGCTCTTGAGTTGTTACTCAGTCTTCTATTTCTTGGACATGTCCAGGTTTTCCTAAAACTTAGTTGTGTGCCATTACCCAGCCTCCCCCTAGATTCTTTCCTGTTTATGTCAGTGTCATTTAAGTCGTCAGACCTGGAGGAAGGAAATGAACTGGTTTCCGGTTTTACTTGTGAAAGTCTATGCCCTTGGATCTACCTTTTCTTTGTCTTTTGCTAGCTTAACCAGTGGCACTCTTTTCAACTTCCAAGAGAGAGACCACACAGACAAATGGACTTGAGCAGGATGCACGGAATGCCAAATATTTCACAAAATGTGTTCTTTTGTTTGCCAATGCAAGCTTTGTGTTCCTCTCCCAACTCTAGAGCTTAACACAGACACCTTAGGTGACAATCAGAATTTTAACATAAGTGTACTTTCTTGGTCCATCTTTTTGTCTAAGTAGTGAGCCTCTCCATCATTGTCTTAGGACACAGTTATAATGTCCTAGGCATTGAATCCAGTAGACATGTCTTAAGATTTGTAGTCATTTCATTAGTGTTTGATCTTTGGCAAGATTAAACTTATAGAATCCTGACATCCTCATCATAAATGGTGATATCTATGGTCTGGCTTAGTAGATAGAGCATAGGCCTGCAGATTAAAGGGTCCCGGGTTCGATTCCGGTCAAGGGCATGTACCTCGCTTGCAGGCTTCTGGCCTTAGTTGGGGTGCATGCAGGAGGCAATCAATCGATGTGTCTCTCTCACATGGATGTTTCTCTGTCTCTCCCTCTCCCTCCCACTCTCTCTAAAAATCAATGGAAAAATATACTCAGGTGAGGGTTAAAACAAGCAAACAAAAAACAAATGGTGATAATAATATCTACATTATTGAATTAACACATGATAAAATAATACACAAAAATCGTGTACTGCAGTCTATGGCTATATTTAGACTCAAATGATAGTAAATAAGTAATTCTAAGGACTTATATTCCATTTCTACTACCTTTTCTCTTAGCTCTTTGTAATTCTGGCCAAGTGTAAGTCTCTTATGTATTCTTTTTCAGAGACTCTGTTTTTTTTTTTTTTATAAAATCTTTATTGTTCAGATTACATTTGTTCCTCTTTTTTTTCCCCCCCATAACTCCCCTCCTCCCAGTTCCCGCCCCACCCTCCGCCCTCACTCCCCACCCACTGTCCTCATCCATAGGTGCACGATTTTTGTCCAGTCTCTTCCCGCATCTCCCATTCCCCTTTCCCCCCCAAGAATAGTCAGTCCATTCCCTTTCTATGTCCCTGATTCATTATAATCACCAGTTCATTCTGTACATCAGATTATTATTTATCTTGATTCTTAGATTCACTTGTTGATAGATGCATGTTTGTTGTTCACAATTTGTATCTTTACCTTTTTCTTCTTCCTCCTCTTAAAGGATACCTTTCAGCATTTCATATAATACTGGTTTAGTGGTGATGAACTCCTTTAGCTTTTCCTTATCTGTGAAGCTCTTTATCTGACCTTCAATTCTGAATGATAGCTTTGCTGGATAAAGTAATCTTGGTTGTAGGTTCTTGCTATTCATCACTTTGAATATTTCTTGCCACTCCCTTCTGGCCTGCAAAGTTTCTGTTGAGAAATCAGCTGACAGTCGTATGGGTATTCCCTTGTAGGTAATTGAGTCTCTTTCTCTTGCTGCTTTTAAGATTCTCTCTTTGTCTTTTGCTCTTGGCATTTTAATTATGATATGTCTTGGTGTGGTCCTCTTTGGATTCCTTTTGTTTGGGGTTCTCTGCGCTTCTTGGACCTGTAAGTCCATTTCTTTCACCAGGTGGGGGAAGTTTTCTGCCATTATTTCTTCAAATAGGTTTTCAATATCTTGCTGTCTCTCATCTTCTGGCACCCCTATGATTCTGATGTTTGTACGCTTGAAGCTGTCCCAGAGGCTCCTTACACTATCTTCGTATTTTCGGATTCTTTTTTCATTTTGCTTTTCCGGTTGGGTGTTTTTTGCTTCTTCGCATTTCAAATCTTTGACTTGATTCTTGCGCTCCTCTGGTCTGCTATTGGGTGTCTGTATAATATTCTTTATTTCAGTCCGTGTATGCTTAATTTCTAGTTGGTTCTTTATCATAGCATCGAGGGTCTCATTAGTTTTCGTGACTCTCTCCTCAAGTTTATTGACAGCTTCTAGCACATTTTTGCAAGCCCTCAAAATTGCGATTTTTAGCTCTATATCCTCCATTTCTGTCATGTTTTTTTGTCTCCGCATTTTTTATGCTTTCTTGGTGCACCCCCTAGTGGTCTTTGTGCGCAGTCTTGTTCTAGTTGAGCCTTGATTGTTGTAGTTAATACTAGAGGGATTTGACCACCAGGCCGACTGGCTGTGTGAATCAGCTGTGTCTGCCGCGGAAAACTTCTGTCCTCTGGGGAGGTGCTAATCTAGCCTTTGCCTGAGGCGATCTGGCAAATGGCTCTGCGCAGGGCTTGGGCGGGGCGGGCTCAACAGGGCGGGCGGAGGGAGCGGTTATGGCCCCTCTCAGTCCCGTTCCCAGAGGCTCTGCTTCTCAGAACCCCAGGAACCGCTGCAAACCTCGGAGGGAAAGCTGCCTTCCAACTGATGCCAGACACTCCCGCTTCTCCCGTTTGAGTCCGAGTCCCCAGCGATTCGCCCGTATCTGGAGCTCAGAGTCTGAGACTCCCCCCTGACCGAAAACGACAACCGCGCTCTCAGCCACCAGCCCGCTTTGCGCGCGCACCTCCGCACCTGAGTATTTTCCACACTGCGCCTCCTCTGAGCCTCGGTGTGCTGTTATTTTTCCTTCTAGTTGAAGAGTCTCTCCTCAGCCAGCCTTCCTGTGGTTCTGGGTGATGTCCGTTCCGTCTTTTAGTTGTATTTTTGAAGTGGTTGTTTGCGGCAGCAGTCTCTGGTGTTTACCTATGCTGCCATCTTGGTCTAATCTTCAGAGACTCTATTAAAACCTTTTTCAGACAGGCCAGTGTCCTCATTGTGCTTGAGTGATGTCATCCACTCTCCATGTTTCTAACAGTCCTATTGGAGTCTTAGTTCACAGGTATTTAGATATACATTCAATGCTAAGGTCTTAGACTTACTGTTTTTGAAATACCTTTGGGATGCTCTTTAACATTCGGAATAAGAATACAATATTAGACGAGCATTAGTAATTCTACAAAGAAATGCTCAAGATATTCTTGTATATGCAATTTAAAATCATATTTATTATCTTAATGTTTACCAAAAAATTGTGCCCATGTTCTCTTATAAAGTTTTCAAAGACTCATTTTGATTAACAGTACAATATGCTAACTTAAAATATCAAAACAAGACCTTTACCGTTGTCCTTGTGTAGGTCTCATCAAATTCTGCAATTCATTAAAAAACTAGCTGTAATAGATTACTGTATTAAATTTACATGTAGAGTGTTCTACATAGTGAGCAATTACTCTGAAGTTATATCTCTCATGAGAAAAGATCAGAATTTTCACTTTTGATTAAGCTAAATTGCAATTCTCAAGAACTTTCCAATTAATTATAATTCAAATAGAGTTTTTCATTAGTGTTCAGAAGTGGCTAAATTTAAGTGCATTAATAAATTAACAAGATCAAAATTTTAATCATGTGAAGGACAATGGGAAGTATCTTTATTTTTACAGAGACAACTTTGTAAAGATCATCCTAATTTTGAAAAAAAAAAAAATTTTTTTTTTTCTCCCAGAAGTTCTATGCATACAACTCTTAGTTACCTCTCAAAATACTGAGGCTTTTTTAATGCCACAACTATTGCAGGTCATATAGAAATACCGATGTTTGATGTTTTAGCTTTATATCTGTAATGGTAGAAAAGGCTGAAAATTGAATTAATATGAATAACAAATTCTGTAAGATTTCATTTAAAAAGATATCACCTAAATTTAAATAAAAAGTAACCCTAGGAATCAGGGTCAGCAAACTTCTTCTGTAAAAGATTCAGATACTAAATATTTTAGGCTTCACAGGTCACATGATCTCTGCCAGAACTACTCATCTCTGCTGTTGTATGGCAAAGTCATAAGCAATAAATAAGTAAATTAGCATCTCTGGGTCCCCCCAAAATCTTTATTTATACAAACCATGGACTAGATTTGGCCTATAGGCTGTAGTTTGCCAAACCTAAAGCCTCCTAAATAAGAACAGTTTTTTTTAGAATGTGTGAGATAGAGACAATCCTATATAATAAAAGGCTAATGTGTACATTGTCCCCTGGACTGGGAGTTCAACCCGGGAACAGAGCCAGCCTGCCAACAGCCCATGGCCCCACCCAATTGGCCCTGATTGGGGCAGGCCGGCCATACTGCACCCCTGCACGAATTCATGCACCAGGCCTCTAGTATTTAATATCAGAGATCTCAGCCCTGGCTGGGTGACTCGGTTGGTTGTAGCATCATGCTGTGCACCGAAAGATTGCAGGTTCAATTCCCGGTCAGGTCACATACCTAGGTTGTGGTTTCAATCCCTGGTCAGGGCACATATGGGAAGCCACTGATCAATCTCTCTCTCTCTTTCTCTCTCTCTCTTTTTCTTCCTCTCTCTAAAATCAATAAGAAAAACCACGTATCCTCGGGTGAGGATAAAAATAACTATCTAAATAACTAACTAAATAAATTGGAGAGTACATAGATAAAATATCAGATCCTACTTATATTTTCACACATACAAAGGCTTTCAGGAATAATTCCTCTAAAATTGATAGTGTGGTTCCTTTGGGATAATACAAATAGCATTCTATAAGATCTTAGCCATATGGCTTATTTTGCATAGAACACTGTTGACTAGTTGGCATATTCACTAATATGTTCATTAATATTTTTAGAGCTGGTTGTCTAAATTCTTGTGTTCATCAAATAATTTTCAGAAACACAGGAATGAACTAAGTTAAATTTCTATTTATTTTATTTATAACAATTTAAACAGTACAAACCTTCAGGAGACCGTGTAAATAGGTTGCATTTCCTAAGCATATTTAATCATAGAACCCACCTTGAATAATCACAGGAGATACATGGGACATAATTTGAGAAATGCTAGTATAGCGAGTCCTGGGCTTGGGTGTGCCTAACCGCATTTTTAGTGATGACTGGCATTCTGGACACAGTTTCCCATCTGGAAGGCTCATTAGCCTTCTAACGACACCTATTCCGCTTCCAACCTCCATGTAGGGCTTTCTCTCCTCTTGTAAGTCTCAGTCTCAGAACCACTTTTTCCAACCTGATTGTGTTCCAACTTCTCACCTTGTCCCAAAACAGGAAGAGTGACAAGAATGAGGGGCATAAAAGACGGATATAAGAGGTCTTTATGCCCAATACAGCCTAGGTTTTCTGAAATGTACTGATGAGTTATAGTTCAGACTCCTGGAACATAAAAACATTGCAAGGTGCTCTGGTTCTAACAAACAGCTTGATGAGAGAGAAAATGTGGGAAGTTATTAAATGGCAGAGTCATGGGTAAAGCTATGAGAGCATGTTTTTGTCCTCTGGGACTGAGAAATGTCCCCAACCTGATGCCTTGAGACCAGTAGCTCCTCATCCCTTGGTGCTCTGCTGCACCAAACTGTCATTCTGCTCTGGTGGCTCTCCTGCTTCAGGGCATACTAACTTTAAGAGCTCTAACTAATGAGCAGAATGCTTCACCTCTATTATCTGTGTTAGTTCTTAGAATAATCCTGTGATGAAGGTACTACCATCATGCCTATACATATATTTAAACCTTCCGGAGGGTTTAAATCATTGTCCTAGCTGCACAGCTAGTAAGTCATGGATCTAATACTCAAACCCAAGAGAGCTTGTCTCCAGAGTCTTGGCTGGTGCCTGTTTCTAATGACCTGGCGCATGAGGGAGAGAAGCCCCTAATCGCAGCGGGGAGTTTAAATGGTCGCATAATGTGCTGAGCACCGTGCCAGGAGCAGCACACTCAGAAGAGGACATGATCTAACTCTTACCTGAAGGCACTTGCACGTAGCCCCTATTTCACTGAATGGCAATTATTATCTACATTTTTATAGGTGAATCTTCGAAAGCACTAAGGGGGAGCAATCTATTCTAGCTGATGAATTTGGGGAGGGTTTCATAGAAGAAGTAACAACAGGGCTGAGCCTGTAAGAGGATTTTAACAAATAGTAAACAGAAGAAAAGCCCCGGGGCAGGGGGAAGCACAAAGGCCCACAGCCCTGGGGGAGGCGGAGGCAGGCAGCAGTGAGCTGTCAGGTGCACTGGTTATGGCCTTAGGAATCATTTCAGAGAATTTACAGGATGTGTTGATGGATTGAAAGGAGGCGGGGAGGGCCAAGGAAGAATAATCTTTCAAGCTTGGGTGGCTAGTGGAATGCTAACAACATTAATGGACAGAAACGCCTTGAGGGCTTGGATGTGATGCTATTAGTTCCAGACATGCTTAGTTTGTGGTTCCTTAAGGTACTCGGCTGCAGCTTTCCAGGCAATAGTTGGATGCTTAGAGTTGAAGCCTAGCACAATGCTCAATGCTGAGGTGGAACAAAGAGGTGAAATAGTTCCACTGATATTAACGTTTGTAATAAAATCAGAACTTCTTATACTTAAAGAATGTTATGAAGTAAATATCAATGCACATACATATCACAATAAGTATATTGGTACATATGCATATATGCAGGGTGGGGCAAAAGTAAGTTTACAGTTGTTTGTATGAAAAATAATATAATAATTAATAAGTAATAATACAAGAATAAATTCTGGCCCTGGCCAGTGTGTCTCTGTTGGTTGGGCGTTGTCCCATGCACCAAAAGGTTGCCAGTTTGTTTCCGGGTCAGGGCATGTGCCGGTTGCGGGCTCAGTCCCCAGTAGAGGATGTGCAGGAGGCAGCTGATCGATCTTCAGCTCTCACATCAATGTTTCTCTCTCTCCCTCTTCTTTCCATTCTCTCTAAAAATCCTTAAAAATATTTGTTAAAAAGAATAAATTGTGTTTTACATACTCGCAAAAGTAAACCTACTTTTGCCCTACTCTGTATATAATATGAATATCTTTTTGTTATGCCCAGATTTCAGGATCCCCAAGAAACCACACCAGGGAGCCAGCCAGGTCCGATGCAAAAGCGTAAGAGTCTTTATTCGAGCTAGCTCGGCTCCCCCACCTTGCCGACGCAGTGGCAGGAAGCAGAGAGAGGCCTAGCCCGGCATGAAGAGGAGTTTTATAGGGGGGTGGAGTCAGAGTAGGAGAGGGGACTGTGGCCAGGCGCAAGTCGGTGTCTTGTTCCTGGGTGTGGCTAGCAGAGGCTTAGACTTCCGGGAAGAAGCTCCTTGCCAAGCACATGGCCAAGGTAAGATGGAGGGTGTAGCCCTTACCCTAGGGCAAGATGGAGGGCCTAGCCCATACCCTGGGGCAAGATAGAGGGCCTAGCCCTTGCCCTTTCACTTTTATGAGAAAATGCTCTTTGAGTTTCAAAACATTGATATAGAAGTAGATTTGGGGATATGAATTTATTTAAGAACTAGAGGCCCGGTGCACAAAAATTTGTGCACTCGGTAAGGGGGGGGGTCCCCCAGCCCAGCCTGTGCCCGCTTGCAGTCTGGGACCCCTCAGGAGATAACGACCTGCTGGCTTAGGCCTGCTCCCGGGTGGCAGAGGGCAGGCCCAATCCCTAGGTGCAGCCCCTGGTCAGGCTCAGAGAAGGGCTGATTGGGGAGTTGGGGCGCCTCGCCCTGTCATGCACAGAGCAGGGCGGATGGGGAGGTTGCGATGCCACCCTCAGTCACGCTCAGGGTAGGGCTGATTGGGGGGTTGGGGCACCGCCCCTGTCACACTCAAGGCAGGGTCGATGGGGAGGTTGCAGCGCCACCCCCTGTCACGCACAGAGCAGGGCCAATCAGGGGGTTGGGGCGCTGCCCCCTGTCACTCACAGAGCAGGGCCCATCAGGGGGGTTGGGGCTCCGTACCCTGTCACACACAGAGCAGGGTCGATCAGGGGGTTGAGGAGCTCCCCCCTGTCGTGCACAGAGCAGGGCCGATAGGGGAGTTGGAGCACCGCCCTCTATCACCCACAGAGCAGGGCCGATCAGGGGGTTGGGCACTGCCACTGTCACACTCAGGGCAGGGCCGATGGAGAGGTTATGGCTCTACCCTGTCACACATAGAGCAGGGCCGATCAGGGGGTTGGGCACTGCCACTGTCACACTCAGGGCAGGGCCGATGGAGAGGTTATGGCTCTACCCTGTCACACATAGAGCAGGGCCGATCAGGGGGTTGGTGTGCCGCACCCTGTCAAACACAGAGCCGCAGGGCCATCAGGGGTTTGGGGAGCTCCCCCCTATCAGGCACAGAGCAGGGCTGATCAGGGGGTTGGGGCGCCTTCCCCTGTCACGAACAGAGCAGGGCAGATAGGGAGTTTGTGGCCCCGCCCCCTGTCACACACAGAGATGCAGGGCGATCAGGGGCTTGGGGAGCTCCCCCCTGTCTCTCACAGAGCAGGGCCCATCAGGGGGTTGAGGAGCTCCCCCCTGTCACGCACAGAGTAGGGCCGATAGGGGAGTTAGGGCACCGCCCCCTGTCACACACACAGCAGGGCGGATCAGGGGGTTGGGGCGCCGC